TTGTTATGTGGGCACCTTTTGTGCCTACAGTGATTTTGTGTTGGGATGAAGTGTGGCTAATGTCACTGTCTCTGATCACCTCTGAAGTGAGGATGGTAAGGGACAGCTGAGCCAGGAGTCTCTCTTCCCTTTCTGTAACTCAGTTTCCCTATCTCTAAAAATGGGGACATGGAATAAATAGCCTCCAAAAATTCTTTTTGCTTTAAAAAATTAATAGTGATGCATACAGTATATTAGTCTAGTCCTATACATTTTCTAAACACGACAGGTAACCTCTCCAGCTCTGTCCCACCTCCACCCAATTCTGGCCAGATCCCAGACACTGTCCTAGCAGTAACCAGGGAGCTATAGCTATGCAAATCTTCCTTAGATTATTTTTTAATATATTAGCATAAAGTGTAGGACCTTTAATGTATTATTTCATATGTTTGTTTTATAATAATGAAATGTACTTTGGGTTAATGTTGATAATCTATATAATGCAGAAATTCAACTCAATCAATGAGGCTTTTCAGCATTAGAACAATCTAGATAAAATATTAATGTAAATTTTTTAAACGATGTATTTATTTATGAATACAAGAACTGGGGTACAGGTCAGAGGTGTGGGGGGTGAGAGGATTCACCAGAGACAGAGTGGGGAACAGAACAGGAGAACTGAGTGAAATACACTGCTAAGGGAGCAGCGGGTGAATCAGGAGAGGTCTGCTTTGCCATATTAATGTAATTTTAAAGCTAAAATATAATGTTGACTTTTGTACCAGTTCTACATATGGTATGTGAGTCTATCCCAATTTATACTATAATTTAGCTTCCCAAATCTTAGTATAAAAATGTATTTATGTCATTTGAAAATTATCATTACTTGCATTCTTTTTTTGCAATCATGAACTTTTTCATTATAAAAGTTATTATATATAATGTATATAATATATAACTTTTATAATTTATATATAACTTCATATATATTTATATATATTAATATTAATATTCTATTCTATTATTCTATTATTATAATATTTTATATTTTATTATAATATAATGTTATAGTAATATCAACATATATTAATACTAATACATTAATATATATTAATATTAATATGTATTATATATAATATGTGCATATATATATATATATATATAGGCATAAAAGGAAAAGAGAGACTCTTCTCAGCACCCACCCCTGCCATTCTCACAAAGACAGATAAGTGAAGCCCATTAGTTGCTCTGTCTTCTGTGGACATTTCTAGCCTTAAAGTTTCAACATTTCCTCTTTAATTAGTTACTTAATGAGAACTCAATAAGCCTAACATCTTAGGATGATATTTTTAAAACTATGAAATCTGGGGAATTGGAAGACATCCCATGCTCATGAATGGAGAATATCAATAATCAAAATGACTATTTTGCCTAAGACAATGTATAAATTTAACATAATACCCATTAAAATACCAACAATATTCTTCAAAGAAATTGAGCAAAAAAATATTGAAATTTATATGGAACAATCAAAGGTCTCCACTAGTAAGAGCAATCTTGAGAAAAAAGGAGAGAAATGGAGGCATCACATTACTTGACTTTAAACAATAATGTAAAGCAATAGTACTAAAACCAATATGGTACTGGCATTAAAATAGACATATGGATCAATGAAATAGAATTAAAAAACTACAAATAAATATACATATACATCAAAACTCAATTTATAAAATAGCAGGCATGACTGTGCAATGGGAGAGGAAAGTCTAACAGTGCTAGGAAAACTGGAATATTAGAATGTAAAAGAGTAAAAGTTGGATCACTCTCTAACCTCATGCACAAAAATAAATTTCAAATCGATTAAAGATTTAGACACGGGACCTACAATAATAAAATACATAGAAGAAAACAGTGGTAATATGTTTCGTGACATCAATGATAAAGGTGTTTTGGGGATTCAACTCCAATGGCAAGGGAAAATAAAAGCAGAAAAAATAATTAGAAGTACCTCAAATTAAAAAGCTTGTACAATGAAAGAAAATATAAGTAGATTTATAAGACATCCTTGAATGGGAGAAAATATATATATTAATGCATTACCAATATGGGGTTAGTGTCTAATATGTATGTGTGTGTGTGTATACATACATACTAGACATTATATAATATATATGTATATATACTTAACATACACTATTCAGCAATATAAAAACAATCCAGTTAAGAGGCAACAGGTCTAGGTAGGGAATTCACCAAAGAGGGTATCTGAAGGCCAATAGAGACATGAGAAAATATCTGCCATTGCTTTGATTGAGAAATACAGGTTAAAACCACAATTGAGATATCATCTCACATCTGTGAGAATAACACATATTAAAAAGATGCCCCAAAACAAGTGCCAGGCAGGATGCAGAGGAAGAGGAACCTTGTTACACTGTTGGTGGCAATGTAAATTGGTACAGTTGATTATATGACCCAATCACCCCCACTCTTGGGTATTTAACCAAACAACATAAAACCATAAACTTGAAAACTTGTGTTTATTGCAACACTGTTTCAATAGCTAGTACATGGAAACAATCCAAGTGCCCACTGACAGAGAATTGGACCAAGGAGATGTGGTATATCCAAACAGAATATTATATCCAAATGGAATATTACGCAGCCATAAGGAAAGACAAAATGTTGCCATTTACATCAAATTGGAAGGAGTTCAAGGGACCAATGTGTAGCAAAGCAACTCAGAATGACAAAAAAATATACATTGGACATTTAGAAGTGGATGATTTGGTGCTTTAAAGCAAAACACTTAACAAACCAGTGGACGATCATAAACAAAATGAGACTTCTGAGGTTGAGAAGAGGGAGGGAGAAAGTGTCAAGAGGTAGTGGATGTCAGAGATGTGGAAGATAAGGGAAAAAATTATGAAACCCTAACTTATATTTAAATATACACAACCAGTCACAGATGGCAGAGACTCACTAGAATCATTAATTTTCAAATTATTCATGAGTGGATCATGAAGTCACTTTAATGGATCATTATTAGCATTTTACAGAATAGAAAGGGATAGGGCAGGACAGGACAGAATAGGAAAATACCAGTGTATTATACACAGTAAGGATCACTATTGTTCTTGTAATATTGATATACACAATATAATTTATTTCAGGGCCATATAGGTATGTATACAGTAGTTCTTACTACTGTAGGATACAGTTTTGTAAAAGTTCGCTTTGGAAAGAGAAATGTAAACAGATGAATAACTGTGTACCGTTCTCTCGTGAGGCTGCTTTGCGCTGTAGTTCCTAACAGAGCCAGCCTTAGCCTACGAGCATAGAGGTATTTTCAAGTGGAGTTTTCTGGACATATCTCTGGTTAATCTTTCCCCAGATCCTTGATTAGGTGAATGTGCCTGTTAGATTCAAAACATGTTTTGGACACTCAGGGAGGGCAAATTGACATTTCCAAAAGCTTTCCAAAAGCGGTGAGTTAGTAGCAGAGATGGGATCAGAATTAGATTATTTATGGATTCTTTTCAGAATGGGAAAAAGAGGGGTGAGCAGTGGCTCTCGTCCTGAGGTCAGTGAACAGCTGTTCTTTCATAGATGGAGCTAGAAAACAAGAGAAATGGTCTTTGATTGTGGCAAGAGGGCTGGGGCCGGGCCTGGGGAAGGATTTCCCCGTGGTAAGGAGTGGGTGTGTGCGTAGCACCCCTCCTCGGGAGGTCTTGAGAAGAGCAGGACAGATTGATTCCCTTCTGCCCCGGGGTCCTTTGGGGGGCAGCAGGGGGTGGGGAGCCTAGGATTTTCCCATCCCATGATGTCCTTGCTAGTTTAGCCACGCTCTCCCTCGTGCCCATTAGCAAGCGTAATCTGGAGCTGGCCGTGTTTCTGTCCTCAGCCCCGGATGGATAGGATGAATCCCGTGGCGTTGAGCTGGGTTGCAGCTAGCTTTGCTTTTCATCCGGATGTCAAACCAAGCCTGCAACAGCTGTAATCAGCTGTTGGAAGAGGGGGAGCTGGTGGGGGGCAGCCCCTGGCGACTTGCCCAGCCCTTGTCGAATGCTTAGCATCCACCACTCAGTTTGTCTCTCTCTGGAGCTGACTCTGTTGTTGCGTCTTTTCTTTTTTTGTGTGAGCTTCTTCCCTGCTTCTCTCTTTTCTTCCCTCATCTCTCCTGGGGCAATTGGAAGCCATCTTGCTTGAGCACGATTTTCAGATTCACTCAGGCAGGGCAAGGGACAAAGAGCACCCATTTCTGGATGCCCCACCCAGACTGCAGCTGGGTGTGCTCTGTGACCACAGGAGGAGAGCTGAATTCAGCCAGGCCTGGGTTCCTACCTCACTGCACCTCTAGCTGGCCATGAGTCTTCGGCCAAGTAACTGGACCTCTCGGAACCTCAGTTTCCTCCCGTGGTATGTGGCTAACCAATGTCCAACTGAGGATATTTATCAAGATCGGATGAGAAGACTTCCAGATACTGACCAACCGTGACTATGAACGCCCCTATGCCTGACACCCCACACCAGTTCACCTTCAGTTTGGTCATCATTCACCCTGGGGCAGGAATGTGGCAGTTCAGCGAGGCTGGGGTCCTGAGCAGCCAGCTGGGGACTAAGTCCAGATTGCCTGTGCTTCACTGAGCCTGGGGGCTGCAGAGAACTCTATGGGGTTCCTGGGGGGGTCTCTCCTCCCTTCTCAGCAACCACAGGCTGCGGGGAGCAAAGATGGACTCACTGCCTTGGGTTCCTCTGAAAGGAGAATCCAGACAACAGAGGAAACTTTGGGGGACGTTGGAGAGAATGAGTTGGAAAAAAAAATGTCTAGTCTGACTTTGGCTTTGGAGAACCTGGGTTTTTAGTCCATGGACCTTTGTCAGTTGCATCATGGTTTCCTCCCCTCTGCCTCTTCCTTCAATTCCGAGAGCCAAGTGCTTGCCTGCTACTTGGACCCTGAAGGGGAGCACCCTCCTCACCCCGCTCCTCCCAATGCTAACAGCATGTTTCTCCTTGGGCAGGTTTAAAGATTACCGAGAACCACCCTGGGCTCCGAATCCATATGAGTTTTCCAAGCAGTACTGGTCCGTTCTGTCTGCCCGTCTGGCTTTTGTCATCATCTTCCAGGTGAGTTGTTCAGGTAAGGGATAGTCAGGGCGAATGCAGGCTAAGGAGCCATGTCTCTTGCCTACACCAGTTGAGGTTTTCACAGTTCCATGGGGCGCTCAGTGTGGCTGGCAGTCGCCAGGGCTCTCTTTCCCGGTGGGGTAGGAGGCCCGATCCAGAGGGCCCCATTAATGGCTGGCCTTTGCAGAAAGAGAATAAAACACAGAGTAAGGTTACAAGACAGATGTGGAGTAAGTGGCAGGGTAGAGATAAATTCCTATTTAAACTGAAGACAAGAAAGGCAGGCGGGAAGACACACGGCCCCACCTGGTCTCTGCGGCCCACCCCGGAAGAGCTCGGGTTATGCACCTTTCTTCTAGTGCTCTCACTCCCTCCTTTGTTGGCTGGAGCCAGCCCCTGAGACAACTGCTGGGAAGGGCCCTGGGGCCATCAGCCTTGCTGAATGAATAGCAAACTGGAGCTGTGATTCCTGTCTCCCACAATAGCTGCAGCTCCGATTGCAGCCAGATTCTCTAAGCACCCGGGCCTCAGTTCCGCCTGGGGGTCCTGCCTGCCTTTCTAAGACTCCCTCAGGCCTTTGTATTCCCCGAAGGCAGATCCCTGGAGGGCTCTAAAGTATCTGGCCCCAGACCCCAAGCCAGGAAGTGGAGAAGCCCTCAGCTAGGCTTTCAGCTCAAGTAGACACCCATTCTTTCTCTGGAGAGATGGGGCGATAGATGTGAAATGCAGCTCAGCTGTCTGTCCTCTGTGCCCCCCCTCAGGGTCTCCTCATTTCACTTCCACTCACCAGGAGGGGTTGGGGTAAAGAAGAGTAGGTCATGATGAAGCTGCTTGAGGGCACCTGAGACCACCCCCCCAGGGGCCTCTGCACCTAGGTTGGTTCCCAAATTCTTCCCCTGGGCCCTAGGAGCCCCCAGGGGCCATGGTCTATTTGCTATTCGGGACAGGATTTGGAGCCTGGAAGAGAGCGCTGCTCTCATAAATTCTTTCTGGCCTCAGTCAGTGTCTCCTCAGTCCCAGAGGAAGTTGCATGAGCAGAGGGAACACCACAAATAGAGGAGCGTGTGTGGGGGGAAGAGCACAGGGGTAGTGGGGCGGGCTGACCAGCACCCACCGGCCCCTGCCCTCACTGTGTGATTTACTCATCACTGACGTGGGAAAAACTTGCGAGAAGTAGCTTGGTCCTACCTGTGTTTCTGGGGGAGGGATGAGCTCCTGAAAGAAGGAAGCCAGTTACCAGTGTGTGCAGATGCTTAGGACATCAGCAGAGCTCGAGGCTTGGAGCCCCAGACAGGCCTGCGTGGCTTAGAGAGGCCTGGATGGAATAGAGGGCGGGAGAAAGTGAATGTGAGTAGAAGGAGGGTTGGCTGCGGTCAGAAGTGAGTGCAGAATCCAAAGACCCAGCTCTCAAATAGAGGACAGGGCTTCAGCTGGAAGGAAGAGAGGGACAGCTGGCCCAGTGAAAGCCCTGGAGAGGTCAGTGGGCATCTTCCAAGTAGGCTCTGGAGCAATCTGTGTGTGAGGTACTGACTCATTTAATCCTCACAACTCCTGCAGGTGGTAGACTCTGTTACTGTTCCCCTTTCTGCAAGGGCAACAGGGTCTGACAGTCCCAGGAGCTGTTAGGCTGTTGGCTAAGATCACCTGCTAGTAAGTAGTGGGGCCAGAATCTTTCTGAGGTCACAGTCTCCGTGCTCTGTACGCATCACCATTGTGGGGCTGCTCACTCCAACAGGGCACGGGTGGATTGTGGTGCCAGGCTGGGCCAGGCATCTGCTCCAAATCCCTCTCCCTCATTTTCTGCAGAACCTTGTGATGTTCCTGAGTGTCCTCGTGGACTGGATGATCCCAGATATCCCCACGGACATCAGCGACCAGATCAAGAAAGAGAAGAGCCTGTTGGTGGACTTCTTCCTGAAGGAGGAGCATGAGAAGCTCAAACTGGTGGATGAGCCGGCCCAGAGGAGCCAGGGAGGAGGACACGAGAGCAGGAGGAGCCACGTGGCCAGCCCAGCACCCTCAGGCAGGAGCCAGCGGGGCAGCACAGCCTCTGCTGGTTCTCAGCACACCAACGTTTGACCCAGCTGCCCCCTGCAGAGGGCCTGCAGCTGCAGCGGGAGCATGCATACTGTGCAGTGCCTCTGCAAGGCTGTCTGTCCCTCTACCGAGATCTGGCCTGAGAAGATCTGAAAAGGGTGTGTGTGTGTGCGTGCGTGTGCTGCGTGTACGTGCGTGTATGTAGAAAGAATGAGTGAGTGTGAGTGCAGGATGGAAGAGGTGATGCTGCTTTTCAGAAACTTCAAACTTAAGTTTCTTTTAGGTCCTTCTAAGCTGCATCCTTTTGGAGGATTGGCCCCTACTTGAGTCAATGAAAGAATCAGGTCTCTCTACCCCAGGGTTCCAGGATACCAGGAGCCTTCCTTGTGTTCCCTCAAGCACGCTCCCATTTCACATGCCCGCAGGCTGGGACTGAAGCTCAGGGCCCTGTCCTACCACTTCGTAAGTGCTTACCACCCTTTTCCACCAGTCCCCTGAGAAAACCCTCTGAGTCACTTGCAGCTGGGGCTGTAGTAGCCTCAGTGTATGCAAGTTAAGTCAGAGGACTGATCGCTGGGGCCTTGGGACCTGATGATGATGAGTAGCAAAGGTCCAAACTTGGCTTGTCTCCGGTTCATGTGACAGGGGTGCTTTGAGCTAAATGCAATTAACCATCATTTCATGCAGGTTCAGATTTAAAATAACAAAATAAATGGAAACATCCTTTATAAAAATTCCTCTCCTTGTCTTTGTCTTTTTTTTCTCTCTTTCACTGATCTTTAATGAGCACCTACTTTGTTCCAGGCATTGTTCTCAAATTGGAGACAGATACAGCAGAGTATGAGAGGCGAAGTCCTCCTCTTAGGGATCTTGTATTCCACAGAGAGACAGACAATAAGCCACTAAGTGTATAGTATTTTAAAGTCATATGAGCTATGAAGAAACAAAGCAGGGCAAGGGAAACAGCAGGTGAGGGCCTTTTCGTATATGAACTAATGACAAACCCAGCATGGTTTAAAGGTTGCCTCTTGCAGTGCTAACATCATTCATCAGTATTACCTTCTAAGAGCTTCATGGTGAGGAAAATTTCAAATATTGTTGGAACAAAGGCCAAATATCATTCACCTTTGCTTTTCACATACCTGAACCTCACCTGCTATACTTCAAAATCCCCTTCTTGCAGCTGGTCCTAGTTCTTCATAGATCAGTCTGAGTCAGGTCCAACTCCATGTCTGAATGGGAGCAGCAAGGAGGGCCGAACTCCAGAGGAGAAAGTGTAGGAGTTGCTCTGATGTTTCAACAAACCCCGTAATGCAAGGGCCTGTGCATACATGACTGGTCATCAGAGCAGCTTCACCATGCTTTCTTGTTTCATCCTGGGCACATGTACAATTGCATTAGCCACCAGCTCTTGCTCTAGAAAGTGGCCTGTCTTTTATGGGCCATCAGGACATAGATAAAGCACTTAATTCCAGACAATCACGTCCAAGGTCATTCATGCAAAGATAATCCTACAAAGTCCTAATGAGCTTGAATTACATCACACCTTGATGTGTGAGGCTAGATGTATACAATGGTAGTTTCAAAACATTGTGTCTTCTTACAACAGACTTCAGCTAATTTGGGGAGAGTGAAGTGGTCAGTAGAAGAAAAATTTCACTTCAAGAGGCATTAATGGCGGGCCTCCCCGGTGGCGCAGCGGTTGAGCGCTGGGTTGCGAAGCTGCCCGCAGCCTCTGCAGCGCCTGTTCGATCCCCAGCTGCTGCCTGGCCATGGGAGGAGGGTCCCGCATGGCGCGCAGACCTCTCCTGCCGCCCGCTGCTTCCCTCAGCAGTGTACTTCGGTCCTTCTGCCTGCTCTGATCCCCGCCCTGGCTCTGGTGAATTCTCTCATCCTCCCGCGCTACTGACTGTACCCAGTGCTTGTATAAATAATAAATAAATAAATCTTAAAAAAAAAAGATTAAAAAAAATAAAAAAAAAAAAAGAGGCATTAATGGCATGGAGAATCCAGGCCCATAAACAGGAGGCTATCCTGAAAGGTTCCTACCAGTGTGGGAATGTAGAGTAGTCACGGTGCACAGGCCAGGGCTGCCTCTACCCTCAAGGCACCTGTTTTGCCCTGAATGAAACTTCCTGATCACACAACCCGTGCAGGACCCCCCCCACCACCACCTCAAGGCACCTGTTTTGCCCTGACTGAGCCTTCCTGTTCTCACAACCCGTGCAGGACCCCCCCACCTTTTCTTTTTAAAATTAAACATTTTAATGTGATCCTAGAGATTATAGATGATCCAGAATCTAAAATCCAAAAATCTGTAGTTAATATGGGTGTTCCCTCTTACACAGAGTTATGGTTACACTCTGGACACTGTTGTCTGTTTCATGCCATGTCCCTCGCCGATCTTTCCATCCCATAAATTGTCGTTTTCAAAAGGTATTCATACTGAAGCCTTTGTTTCAGGCTAGGTATTGGGTACTTAACAACAGGACGATCCCTGCCCCCGTGGGCCTTATGCTGCTGTGGGCGAGTTAGATAGATAATGAACCTTGAGAGCAAGGAATACAGCATGTCAGAGGGTGATAGTGTTCTGGAACAAAGGAAATATAAGGCAAGACCACAAGGGTTGGTGGAGGGGTCAAGAGTTCCATTTTCTATTTATGGAGGCCCTTTTCCCTTTTTATCCTGCCATACTCCACTGCTAACCACTATGGATTGAGTGTGCAGGACTGTGCCTTACAATGTAGGGGCCAGGTTAGACAAAGCCACCTGGAAACATCTAGATGGCATGAAGAGGGAAGGTTTAATCAGTTCTGTAGGGTAAATGAATTAATCATGATGTTTACGGCACTAGCCTCTGTGGCTCTCACCTGCGACCTTGGTTGCGCTAATACAGAAGGCACGTGGGGCGGGGCATACATGTCTAATTGTGGACACCTGGAGAATGGATGCGTGCGCATGTGTAAGTGTGCACACCTCTAGGCTAAAAGTGGCAGCAGTGTAGGGTAAGGTAAAAAAGTATCAGGCTTTTCTGCCCTCCCGCCATTAGGATTGGTGATGGATCCCTGCGGTCCTGAGTGCATGCCTGATGGCGGGCACCTGGAGTAGGGTGTGGGCATGCATAAGTGGATACACCTGAGCTAAGACTGGGCTAATAAGGGTGGCGTCAAGGGGATGCCAGCAGAAGCAGAAGCAGAGAAGCACGAACGGAAGAGGAGAACCACAAGAAGAGCAGAGAAGCAGAGGCCACCGGAGAACGCTGGAGAGCCCGGATAGAGTGAAGACTTGCTGGGGGCTGGGAGGCTTGCATCCCTGCCTGCTGTGTATCTGGTAAATCCCAATAAAAGCCAGAAAAGCCACTGAAGTCTCCAGAACTTCTCCTTAACCTGTCTGCCTAGAATCATAGAGAACCTGCACTGTGTCCATCCTGCCCCTTACAGGCAGCAACAGATAGAAGATGGGCAGCATGACTGCAGAAGAGGCCAAACCATAAATGACAGGCAGAGAGAACACCAGAGAGCACCCAGAGAAGGAGTGTAAAGCTTCGTTGTGGCCTGGGAAGCTCAGTTGCCTGCCTGCCTCCGGGTCTGTGTCTGCCTCCTTGCATGCCAGCCTCCCTGATTGGTGTGTGCCTGGTTCTCTGAGCCTGAAAAGCCCATCAAAGGCTTGAACTCTTCTTTATCCATCTGCCAGAACCAATAGTGAACCTGCCTGTGCTTGCTGGCGCAACAGACCACATACAGATTTCCACCCTGAAAGGACCCAGCATTTGCTCTCTCTCCCACTGCAAGTGAATTAGGTATGTTATGATTTGATCCCACCCCCAGACCCAAATCATCATGTTATTGGCATGAGTTCTGGGCCTGCCACCTCATGCAGCAGCAACAGGGACTTAGGTTCAGTAAGAACTTTCCAAAGTGCTTGTTAAGGTGGGTAGAGTGACGATAGGTGCAATCCTAACTTAAAAGAAAGCTAACAATAAAATTTCCTTCTCTGAAATTTTTAAGGAAATAATATGTTTAAAATTGTCATCATAAAAAATGAAAAAACGTGAGCAAAAATCTGAAACATTATAGGAAAAAAAATCACTTCCTACTCACCTTCCCCAGAAATAATTATAGTTAATCTTTTGGTTTATTTTTTTTTTAATTTGTGCTCCTATGGTATATTTGCAGTCATTTACATTAATTTGCAATAGCATCTGTTTTATTTCATTTCAAAAGTCATACTCATTGAAGATTGAGAGAATGCTAAAAAAGAAAATGTAAATTAAATAGTTTAAATCACCCAAGTGCTCACCACCAAGAGATAATTGGCAATCAATTTTCTTTCTGCTTTCTGATTTTCATGCACAGTTGAGCTCATTCTGCAGATACTCAATTTAATCGAGAAACATCCATGAGCCCTCAGTAGAGGTTAGTATGAAGAAGAGTTTGGTGACTGTTCCATTGCAGTCATCAGTCTTTCCTTGTTAAGAACGAGAAGATATTGAATCAACTTGATGGTCAATTTAAGTAAGTAATCCTGATGGTGGTTTTCTTTATTTTCTCTTTGTAAAAAAAATGTGAAATATAAGGTGAGATGTCGTCCGTTTATTCTGTCTGGTCACAGCCATTACAGATCAGTGTTGTCTACTCTAATCCCATTTGGGAAAATGGGATTATGCTCTTTTTGGCAAGGAGTTCAAAGATGCAGAAAATCTTCCCTAAATTCCTTTGCAATAAAATGACCATCATTTTGCTGTATCTAACTTTGCTTTTAAAAAAGCAAAAGATTCTGTGAGAGAATCTTTTGGCCTGCTAATCCTCCCCATGTACTACTCTAGCCTTGTAAATAGATTAGCCATTGTTTTTAAAAAGTGAGATCAGATATACCAGTTGCTCTTCTAAGTGGCCACCATTTGCAGTAACAGATTCCAGTGGGTTCTGGAAAGCATTTCCAGGAGCCAGAGCAAGAGTAAGAAGGGGAAATGCTGGGACCAACTTTGCCCTGTGGTTGCTTGAAATATATAACCAAACAAGTCAGGTTAAAATGGATTAGAAAGGCTTTCCTGTCTTTTTCTGTTTTATTTTTTATTTGGGGTTACATTTTTGCTCTTCCATAAATGCACATGTTCTGCTCACCCTCCAGCAAACCACCTGTGCCACCCCTTCTGCTTCCCTGCCCATATCCTCTCCCCTCCCCACCTTTCTTGAAACCATTAAAATCTTTAAGACTAAGATTTATTCCTGCTGTATTTTGCCTATATGTGTTTTTTGGTTATCTTCCACAGATGAGTGACCCGTCCAATATCTATCTTTTTTTTATAAGATTTATTTATTTATGCATACAAGAGCTGGGGTACAGGCCAGAGATGAGGGGTGAGTGGATTCACCAGAGACAGAGTGGGGAGTAGAACAGGCAGACTGACTGAAATACACTGCTGAGGGGAGCAGTGGGCCAGACAGGAGAGGTCTGCTGCGCCATGTGGGTAGCTCCCTGCCTGGCTAGGGATTGAACTTGTTTTGCAGAGGCTGTGGATAGCTTCATAGTGTGGTGCTTAATCCCTTGCACCACCAGGGAGGCCCCAATATCTACCTTTTACTTTCTGACTTATTTCACTTAATCACTTTGAGGCCTGTCCATTTTGTCCCAAAAGCCATGAGTTCATCTTTTTTATAGGTGTATAGTATTCATCGAGTGTATACTCCAGAATTTCTTTATTCATCTGTTGA